CCCACTTGTCGGCCCTGCGGGTCTCCTGGCGATGTTGCTGGAACAGGAGAAGGGGGCAGCGGATGAGCCGCGCGGAGCGGGAGAGCGGCCCATGGGCAGCGTCCAGGCGCCCTGCGGGCCGGGCCGTGGCCGGAACAGACTGCGAGGGGCCTGAGAGGCACAGGGCCGCTCCGCTGACAGCGTCTCCGGGGCTCAGGCGCGGTCCTGCCCACGTGCGGATTCCTGCGACAGGGGCTTTGGTGACCGAGCCGTGGGGACAGCTTTGGGGACTGGGTCTGCCGTCCCCGGCCCCATGCCCACCCACCGTGTCCTGCCCGTGCCCCGGGACAGGCTCGTACCTTGGCCTCTCGGGGGCTGAGGCCGGGCAGCTCCTTCTCCCTGGAAGGCAAGAGAAGCAGAGCCCTGAGCACCAGGCCCCGGCCCCACAGCCCCCAGGACCCGGGAAGGGAGGCCTGACCCCGGGGAGGGCCGGGGCTGCCGGTTGCCTGTGGCTCAGGCGGGGCAGCAGCATCCCGCCTGGGCCGTGAGAAGGTGGTTGCTGCCAGGTGGGCTGGGCTGGGGTCCCTCAGCGGTCCCCCTGGAGGGACCTGCTCCTAAAGTGGGATGGGCCACTCCTAGTCTTGTCACTGCCGCCAGGGTGGCCCCTGTGACCATCAGTCTGAGGACACCGTGGGCTCACGGGGCCTGCCTGCCCAGTGTCTAGCCTGCCTCTCCCTCACTGTGTCCATCACCCTGCTGTCCCCGACTCCACCCCTCTTGCTGGTCACTTCTGCCGCTCTGGACCCTTGTCTTGTTAGAGCCACGAGCACGACCCCGCCCTCCCACCCCTCTCCACGCCACAGGTCACTGGGCGGCGAGCATGGACTGGGGACATGGGAGCAGCGCTGTGACCACACACGGAGTCTCTGGCCACGGTGAGGTTTCATGGGGTCCCTCGGCCTAACCGTCTCCTTCCCTCGTAGCAAGGCCACTGCACGGTCCCCTTCCCTGGTTCCCCCCTCTAGGACAGCCTCCTGTCCCTCTTCCCTCCTCCCACCCAGGTCGGTCAGTCCCTCCCTCTGCTGCCCATCACCCCTCCCTGACCTGGCCTTGTTCCTGGCGTCGTCCTGCCATCCCCCAGAAGCCTTCGGGAGCTGTGGCGGGCCTGGCCTGGGGGTGTCACCGAGGGTACTCCTCGGCCCTGGCCCCCGACCAGACCACCCGCCCACAGAAAGGACGCCACCGTCCAGAGCCCTTCACCTGCAGTCCCAGCCGAACTGACTGGACCCACAGACAGAATGCAGGAGGCAGGCCCCGGGCCTCCCTGAAGCAGGCGTGGAGGCCCCTCGTTGGGGTGCCCAAGGGCCCGGCCCAAGGCCCTGCTCCATTCCTGCCACGATCTCGGTCTGCCGCCCGGGTCGCTCAGCTCCAGCCAGAGCAGAGTCTAGCCCTCAGAGGGCTCCAGGGGACGAGGCCCTGAGCTGGGGACATGGGTCCTGCCTCCAGGGAGAGAAGTTCCTGTCAACGCATTCCACCCCTGAACCGGACGGAGAAGGGCCCCGGGACTCACTGCAGGAAGCCGTGATGGTCCGTGAGCCTGCACAGCGAGAGGTCAGCCTCTTCCCGGGCGGCCCCTGGAGACCCCGCTGGGCGTGCCTGAAACAGAGAGGGTCCGTGGTGGGGTCCCGTCCGAGCCGGGGGCAGGGGGAAAGGAGGGAGCAGAAGGGCTCCTCTCTCCCCTGCATCCTCAGGGAGCCCAGGACCCTCGGAAAAGGGCCCAGCATGAGAGGCAGGCCCTGTCGGCTCTGGGAGCAGCCTGACAGCGGCGCCTGGGTCTACCAGAGATGTCCCCCGCCTGGCTTCCCCCACTCCTAGGGCCAACCACAGCCCCTTGGTCTCCTCTGCGGGACTGCGGCTCTGATCCCTGCCTGGGGCATACGTGCTCTCGCTGCTGAAGTCTCCCTTTGGGCCAGACCTGCTCCTACACGCCTAGGACCCCACCTGGATCCCCCGAGCTCCCGCTGTGTGGGATCCCAGCTTGGGCCTCCCAAGCTCCTGCCGCCTATGATCCCCGCCTGGACCTCATCGACGACTGACCACTAGGATCCCCGATGGACCCTCAACTGCTTCCCATGCCTGGGACCCTCCCCCGTGTCGCACTTGTTCCCGAGGACTCTGGTCCTTGTCTGGGATGAACGGGCCCATCCTTGGCTCTGGGCCCCAGCCCTGCAATGAGGGCCCGTCAAGTCAATGGGCCCCCTCTGTGCCTCACCTGATTGTAACTGGCTAGGATGTGGGCCCCTTCCAAGGCCCTCAGGGTCTCCAGGTCCTGGTTCATTGTGCTGCCACCCGAAAACATCCCAAGGGGACCCTGCATGAGAGCCTCCAGGGAACCAAGGCGTGTGCTTCCAGCGGGCAGATCCCCAGTCTGTCGGAGCCCAGAGTGGAGAGAATCCTGGGGCTCCAAGGGCCCTGCTGGGTCGACAGATCCCACGCGGGCATTGCCTCCCCGGGGCACTCCCACCTCCAGACTCCCTTCCCAGCCACCGTCCCCAGCACGTGGTCACACTGAGAGCACGGTCCCTTCACCCCATACCCAGGAGCACACGGGGGTCCGGGTGTCTCCGGGAATTGCTGACCTGATGCTTGGGGTGGCGTCCCCGAGCCTGGGACCGGCAGCGCGGGGCTGGATGGAATGGCCGGCGGGCTTCGGGGGGATCGAAGGTGACTCTGAGATGTGACAAGCTCACGCGACAACAGGGAAAAGCCCGTGAGCGGGATGTCCCCCACCTGAACACATGCCAGCAAGAGTCTGAATGGGCTCGCCAGCCGGGAGCCTGGGGTTTGGCAATTGCCGGAGGAGGGGCGGAGGGGAGAGCAGGAGGGACGTGGTGCTCCCTGGAGGGGAGGGGCGTGCGGGCTCCCTGCCCAGGAGGCTGGGACCCGGGCGGCAGCGGGGGCAGCCCGCCCTCCACGGGGCCGTGGAAAGGCTGCCTGCTCCGGCTCACGGTCAGTGCTCAGCGGCCCGAAGGCAGCAGCTCACACTCACCGGTGACCTGTCGCTGCGGGAGCCACGCCTGCGGTCTCCACGGGGCTCGTGGGGGGAGAGAGTCGTGAAGGTGTGGCAGAGCCGGGAACAGAGAGCGCGAGCGTCTCCAGCTGCCTGTGGACACCGAGCAGAGTGCGCGCCCGGCAGCGGCGGAACCCTGGGCGCCACCGTTCAGACGACAGCGGGTCCCCCGTGTCATCCGTGCGGGCCAGCGGGGTTCTGTCTACACTGAGCCCTTCACCCTGAAGGTCTTGCTCCCTGGGAGGGTCTTGGCACCACGCACGGTGGGAAGGGGGGCTTGGCGCCCTCCCACCATCCTGAGCTCCCATGCTCAGGCCCTCAGGGCACCCCCCTGCTTCGATGACAGGGTCACCTATGTCCTACCACCCCAAGGGTTGCCAGGGTGCGTTTTGTACCCGAGAACATTTGAGGGGCACCTGGGGTGCTTAGTCCGGTGAAGTTCTGACTCTTGCTTTTGGCTCAGGTCACGATCTCGGGGTCATGGGAACAAGTCCTGTGCTGGGCTTGGGCTCGGCGAGGAGTCCGGCTGCCTCTCCCCCCTGCTCACACCTACGAGTGTGCCCTCTCTCTCTCTCTCTCATAAATAAATCAATCTTTAAAAAGTTAACATTGAAGAACATTTGAGAAGTCTTTGTCATCTTTGCAGAGGTGCCTTTATTTTTGGAACGGCTGTATCACTGCCTTTCACAGATCCATCGCGATTTCTATCCAAAACCTCTCTTCTTGAATATTTACTGAAGTAGAGGCAACACACAATGTTACACTAGTTTCAGGAGTCCAACTTAGTGATTCAGCAATTCTGTACCTTCCACAGCGCTCTTCAGGAGAAGCGTCCTCACCATCTGTCTTCGCGCAAGTTATTACAACAACTTCTTCCCTATGCTGTACTTTTAAAATTTCCGTGACTCGTTTATTTTATAACTGGAAGTTTATAGCTTATAATATTCTTCATCATTTTGCCCACCCACATCCCCTCTGGCAAATCAACCAATGTGATCCGTCACATTAACAAAGGACAAAAACCATAAGGTCATCTCAATACTTACAGAAAAAGCATTTGACAAAATACAACATAAAAAACGTAGTGGGTTTTGATGAAATGTACATCAAAAGAGTGAAGGCCATGTACGAAAACCCACAGCTGACCTCATACTCGACGGTGAAGAAACCATTTCCCCTAAGACCAGGAACGAGACAAGGAAGTCCCTTCTCAGCACTGGAAGTCCCAGCTGCAGCAATCAGATGAGAAAAAGAAAAGACCTCTGCATGGGTAGGGGGATGTCAAACTGTTCCTATTTGCTGAAGACATGGTACTATAAATAGGAAACCTTAGAGACTCCACCAAAAACTGTTAGAACTAATGAGTGAATTCAGAAAGTTGTGGGACACATGGGGCTCCTGGGCGGGTGTCTGCCTTTGGCTCAGGTCATAATCCCAGAGTCCAGGTATCGAATCCCTCATTAGGCTCCCTGCTCAGCAGGAAGCCTGCTTCTCCCTCTCCCACCTCCCTGCTTGTGTTCCCCCTCTCGCTGTGTCTGTCAAATAAATAAATAAAATCTTAAAAAAAAAAAAGAAAAGAAAAAAAGAACAGACAAAGCCACAACAGTGTGTTTCTGGCAAAAGCCAGTGGAGCAGAAGAGAGAGACCAGAAGGAAATGCACTCTGATATGGTCAACTGATCTTTTTTTTTTAAATTAAATTTAATTTTATTTAAATCCAATTAATTACCGTATAGTGTAGTATTAGTTTCAGAGATAGAGGTCAGTGATTCATCAGTTGCATGTAACACCCAGTGCTCATTCCATCACGTGCCCTCCTTAATGCCCATCACCCAATTTCCCTGTTCCCCCACCCTTTTCCCCTCCAGCAACTCTCTCAGTTTGTTTCCTATGATTAAGAATCTCTTATGGTTTGTCTTCCTCTCTGGTTTCATCTTGTTTTATTTTTCCTTCCCTTCCCCTATGCTCCTCTTTTTTTTTTTTTTAAGATAGTGTTTTATTTATTTCTAAAGATTTTATTTACTTACTTGACAGAGAGAGTGAGAGAGGGAACACAAGCAGAGGGGAGTGGGAGAGGGAGAAGCAGGCTCCCCACTGAGCAGGGAGCCTGATGGGGGGTTTGATCCCAGGACCCTGGGATTGTGACCTGAGCTGAAGGCAGATGCTTAACAACTGAGCCACCCAGGCGCCCCTATGCTCCTCTGTTGTGAAATCGTATAATTGCCTTTCTCTGATTGACTTATTTTGCTTAGCACAATACCCTCTAATTCCATCCATGTCATTGTAAATGGGAAGATTTCTTTTTTTGGATGGTTAGGTAATATTCCATTGTATATATATACAATATCTTCTTTATCCATTCATCTGTGGATGGACATCTGGGCTCTTTCCATAGTTTGGCTGTTGTGGACATTGCTGCCATAAACATTGGGGTGCGGGGCCCCTTCAGATCATTCCATTTGTATCTTTGGGGTAAATACCCAGTCGTGCAATAGCTGGGTCCTCAGGTAGCTTATTCTTAACTTTTTGCAGAACCTCCATATGTTTTCCAGAGTGGCTGCACCAGCTTGCATAAGAGAGTTCCCCTTTCTTTGCATCCTCACCAACATCTGTTGTTTCCTGACTTGTTAATTTTAGCCGTTCTGACGGGTGTGAGGTGGGATCTCATTGTGGTTTGTATTTCCCTGATGCTGAGCGATGGTGAGCATTTTTTCATGGGTCTGTTGGCCATTTAGGTAGCTTCCTTGGAGAAAGGTCTGTTCTTGACTCCTGCCCATTTGTTGACTGGATTATTTGGTCTTCCGTGTAGAGTTCAATAAGTTCTTTATAGATGTTTGGTAATAGCCCTTTATCTGATAAGGCATTTGCAAATATCTTCTCCCATTCTGCTGGTTACCTTTTGGTTTTGTCAACTGTTTCCTTTGCTGCGAAAAAGCTTTTTATCTTGATGAAGTCCCAATAGTTCATTTTTGGCATTGTTTCCCTTGTCTTTAGAGACGTGTCTAGCAGGAAGTTGCTGTGGCCGAGGTCAAAGAGGTTGCTGCCCATGTTCTCCTCTAGGATTTTAATGGGTTCCTGTCTCACATTTATGGGTTTATTTTTGTGTGTGGTGTAAGAAAATGGTCGTGTTTCATTCTTCTGCATGTGGCTGTCCAATTTCCCAACACCATTTGTTGAAGAGACTATCTTTTTTGCATTGGACATTCTTTCCTGCTTTGTCAAAGATTAGTTGACCATAGAGTTGAAGGTGCATTTTGGGGCTCTCTATTCTGTTCCAGTGATCTATGTGTCTGTTTTTGTGCCAGTACCATACTGTCTTCGTGATTACAGCTTCGTAACAGAGTTTGAAGTCCAGAATTGTGATGCCACCGGCATCACTGTTTTCTTCTTCAACATTCCTTTGGCTATTCGGGGTCTTTTCTGGTTCCATACAAATTTTAGGATTGTTTGTTCCAGCTCTGGGGAAAAAGTAGATGGTATTTTGATAGGGATTGCATTGACTGTGTAGGGATGGTATTTTAATAGGGATTGCTCTAGGTAGCATAGGCATTTTGACAATGTTTGTTCCTCCAATCCACGAGCAT